GGGGGGGGGGGGGGGGGAGGGGAAGAGAGCAGGAAACCAGTCCTTTTTGCACCATTTTAAGAGGGGTTTTTAATTTCTTTTTTTTCTTTTCCTTTTTAAAAATTATTTTGGCCTTGTGTTTTGGGATCCGGTTTAAAAGGCGATGAAAGGATTAAGCAAACAAAAAAAAGTTGTTTAAACATTGCCAATTGATTATGCAGTGACCTGATTAAAATAATAATAATAATAAGCTAATTTTTGGAGAAAGGATTAAAAAAAAAACTTTGTAATATTTATCACTTCCAAGCTATGTTTAATAAAGAAAGGAATGGTTTATACATTTTGATGTGGCCGCTTCGGCGGCTGGAATAAATTCTTCTCTCGTTTCAGCTCTCTGCTGCATCTTAACAGCCACTCTAAACCTACAGGCAGTCCTCGGCTTAACGACCGTTCATTTAATGACTTCAAAGTTACAACAGCACCGAAAAAGGGGACTTATGACCCCTTTCCACACGCAAAAAAGACCAACGACCCACAGAATTGATAGAAAGAGGGATTTTCTCCCATGCCCTCAAAAGCCGAGTCTAATATCAACTTGGCCGCTAGAGAAATATTTTTAACCGCTTCTTTCCTCCCCCCCCCAAAGCCCCCCCAAAAATAGGCAGCCAAGAACTATTTTTTTTCTTCTTTTTTATTTTAATTTTCAACAGTCAAGAAAATTTTCCCAGGCATTACAAGTTCCAAGGTTTTGTAACCTTCAGTGGCTAAAGCGGGGTGATTTTGCCACCAGGCCCCCCAAAAAAAATTCATAAAAGGAGAAAAGAAGACCCTCAGCATCTAAAATTAGGAGCCCACATTAAAATTCGAAGAAAAAATATTCGAAAAAGTCCAATTTCGCTCCCCCCAAAAGACCATCTTCCGTTGCCTTAGAGATTTTACTTTCCCATCCTTTTCTTCCTTCCAAAATACCTTTTAAAAAGTTTTTTTTTTCTTTCCTAATTTGGGCAGCTTTTGTTCAGCCGTGAAATAGCCACTGTGGATTTCCAAAACCTTCAATAATTTGAGGTTGGTGTCCTTTATTTTCTTTTTCCCCAAGAGAAAGGTGGTGATGGAGACCCAGTTTGCATACATATGTCAACATTTCTTCCAGCTGGAATTTAACAGTCCCAGTTTTCTTGCTGGTCTGATAGATTTTCCTTCCGTTCTTCATCTTTTTTTTTGCCTGAAATTTCCTCTCTTGCAGGAAATTCCTTAGCTTAGAGTCCCCTTCTCCCATTTATTTTATTTTTCAATCTCCCAGGAAGACTCTGCCCGGGTCCTTTTAAAGCTCGCCTCCTTGTTCCACAAACGCAAACATTTTTTTTAAAGCAATTTTTTAGATTCAAAAGCATTTGCTTATCTCATTGGTACTAGCCATTTTTTTTCTCTATGAACAATGGTTCAAGGGCGGGGAGGCCATCTTCCCAATCTCCTGCCAATTTTCAACCCTAATGAAATATTTCAAGAGAAAGAGCAAACCATCCGAGATGAAAATAAAACTTAAAATGGGTACCGAGGTCTGCCCCAACGATCACTTGCGGCTAAGATGGTTTCCCTTTTTCACTTGGGGATGAAACCCCCTGAAAGAGCTCTGTTGAGGAAACCTATGAATACATTTCTTCAGAGAAAGAAAGAAAAGAAGGAAGGAACAAAGGAAGGAAGGGAAAAGATGGAAGGAACTGATGCTTTTCCTTCAGCAATTCAACAAGTCTTCATCAGAATATAGACGGGGAAGGAAGGAAGGAAGGAAGGAGGGGGAGAAAAAAAAGGGAGGAGAGGAAAGCGAGAGCGGCATGAGGGAGGGAAGGAATGGAGGGATGGAGAAAGGAAAGGGAGGGGGAGAGAAGGATAGGGGGAAGGAGGGAAGGAAAGGAGATAGGGAGAAGCAAGGAGGGAGAGAAGAATAGGGAAGGAAGGAAGGAGAGAAAAGCAGCATATGGAGGGATGGAGAGGAAAGAAGGGAAGGACAAGGAAGAAGGGAGACGAGAGGGAAGGAAAGGAGATAGGGAGAGAAGCAATGAAGGAGAGAAGGATAGGGAAGGAAGGAAGAGGGAGAAAGAAGGGAAGGAAGAAGAGGAAAGCGGCATAAGGAAGGAGGGAGGGAAGGACAAGGAAGGAAGGAAGGGGGAGACCGAAGGAAGGAAGGAAAGGGAGGGAGAGAGGGAGAGAAGCAAGGAAGGAGAGAGAGAGAGAGGATAGGGAAGGAAGGAAGGAAGGAATCTTGATCAGGAGCTACAACGGTTCCCTTACAAGATAACCTTGGTTCAACCATGCTGGATCTTGAACACTCCCAACCCAGAGCTATGGACCATCCAAGCTTCTCATGAGAATTCAGCCCACACTCCTCGGTGTTGACTCCGGCCTGGCCCCTGAAACCACTGTTCGTGTTTCCCTACGTCGGGAAGCACCTGCTATTTGAGGAAAACGAAGATTGAACTCATTTCAGCTAAGGGGGGGTGGAAACCCCCCCATAATTTTGCCTAAGGCACTAGAACGATCCGAAAGCAAAGATTTGGGAAGGAAAATTCAACTTTGGGACAGGGAAGGGAAGGAAGAGGAAAACATTTTGGTTGCAGTTTTTAGAGAAGAGACTAGAACGAAAAGGAGGTAGGAATAAGCTTCTATCTAATGTTCTTTTTTTCAACACAAAACTTTGGAGATGTCCAGGCTGAATCTGCAAACACTCTTTTTGAGTCCTAGTCTCTTGTGGAGACATCATTTCTCTCTCTTTTTTTCTCTTTCTCTCTCCCTCTCTTCTGTTTTCTTTCTTTCTTAATTTTCTCTTGAGGAAGAGCAGAAAGAGAGAGAACGAAAGACAAGAGCACCACCCGTGGACCAAGAAGGCTGTAGCTACCTTCTCAAGAACATACTGTGATCCGATTTCTCTTCCCGTCCTTGATTTTGCTGTCGCTCTGCTGACCTTCTCAAAACATTTGGCCCACCTTCGCTTTTAGGACAACCTGTCAATTCCCTGAAGAACTGAGGGGGTCCCATCTCCACCTGGAAGCAAACATTTAGGTGGGACTCCAAAGAGACCTTACGCTACAGCTGATCCTGCCAGGGTGGCCTCGCCGTTGGAGAAAGAGAAGCGAAGGCTAGGAAAGAAAGTCTGACTCAGGAAGAAAAGAAAGGGAAAGAGTAAAAGGAAGAGAGTCTCTGGTGCTGCTACCATCACACGCTTCTGATGTCAGGTCTGGAGGACATCCCGACATTTTGAGTTCGGTTATTCAACGGGAACTATTGGAAAAGTCACCGTCGCTGCAGCCGAGAGAAGTTGGAAAGAGATTCTCTTGCCTCCAACTTAAGGTCTCCTTTCACTGGATGAGTTGAGCCCCCACAAAACCACAATCACAATTTTAGATGTTTCAGTCGGTAACTCATTGAGGCGACCAAAGACCTCTCAACCTTCAGCTGAAGTTTTTGTCTTCCTGCACCAGAGTCTATCTTCCCTTCCTTCTCCAGTTAAAGCTTTACATCTTTGGAAGCAGTTCAGCCACATCTGTTTTGTGTGTCTATGTGTGTGTGTGTTCAAAAATATTTGGATAGAGTCCTTATATATACACATATATATATTTATGCAAAAAAAATAATAACCTCCACAAAAGATTCTGAAGGAAGCAGCAAGGAGAAGGACGAAAGGGAAGAAGGGAAGCAGAGTTTGGGGGAGACAATGGCGTTGCCCCCCACCCCGAAGATGGAGGAAGGAAGGGATGGGGGAACATGGTAGAAAGTTGGGGGGATCCCTGCTGTTCCATCTTTTGCTTTTGTGATATTTGGTACGCTGGTGCCGAATTCCCAGGCACCCTGGGTGGGGGAAGAGCCAAAGGAGATGGTCTTCCTCCACCCCATATTATTGGGGAATATTTTTGGGGGGGGCACCTCCCTTCTTCCATACTGGCACAACCGGAGGCATCGACTTTCATTCATCCCAAATCAGCCAGAGACAGAAGGACAACAAAAGAGGCCATTTGTTCTCCCCATTTTCCATCTCTTCCTTGGAAGACTTGCCGCAGGGTCTGGAAACTTTGGGGTGCTGTGGAAAACTGGCCCCCATGTTTCCTCCCCACTTTGGTGAGGAAAGAGCTGGCTGGGGGGGTCTTATTTGGCAGCCGTAGGGGCTGGCCATTGAGGTAGTTTTGGCGATTTGTATCAAAAATAGATCCTCCAGGATAACGGGGTGGATTAGAAGCTTTGGGGTCCCCCGAGAGAAGCGAGGTAGTTTCTTTGGAGAGTTGCGGTGGGGTGAGGGGAGGTCCAACCACTCTGGAGCACTGCCCTGCTCCTTAGAAGACCTCTCCCCACGCCACGGTCCCGTGGGCTCGCCTAACCGCTGGGCTGGGACAAAGGACAGCACTCAACGTTGACTTCAAAACGAGGACCATCTCCGATGGTGTGTCCTTCACGGGGGGAGCTGTTCTGCAAAGAGAACACAACGACAACCAGATTGGAGCACCTCTTCAAGGTTGTCCCGTCCTCTTCTCCCTGTCCACACCTGCGTGGGGTCCCCTCCCCCTCTTTGCCTCTCCTCCCAAGTTGAATTTCCTTCAAGGCAAGGTGAACCTCTACAGAACCTCCATGAAATTGCCCAACCACCTTTGCTTGGTGTCCATAATGGAAACCGTGATGGTCAGGCTTTCCAACAATGGTTGGAAACTGACCAAAGAGAGAAGCAACCTGGAATTAAGGAGAAACTTCCTGACAGTGAGGACAATCAACCAGTGGAACTGCTTGCCACCAGAAATCGTGGGCGCTCCATCACTGGAAATTTTTAAGAAGAGGCTAGACATTCACTTGTCTGAGATGGTATAGGTTCTCCTGCTTGAGCAAGGGGCTGGACTAGAAGACCTCCAAGGTCCCTTCCCGCTTCTATTCTATTCTATTCTATTCTATTCTATTCTATTCTATTCTATTCTATTCTATTATTCTATTCTATTCTATTCTATTTTATTATTATTATTCTATTCTATTCTATTCTATTCTATTCTATTCTATTCTATTCTATTCTATTCTATTATTATTCTATTCTATTCTATTCTATTCTATTCCATTCCATTCCATTCCATTCTATATTCTATTCTCAATTTGAAGAGAGGTTCATCTAGATTCTAGACCAAAGCTTGTTTGTTTCTCAACCTCATGATGTCCTTCAAACATGATGGACCTCAACACCCTTGACCGATGGGGTTGCCTGAAACCATCAGAAAGACCGTAGGAGCTGCGGTCCATCAGCTCTGCCGGCCACTACATTACAGAAGACTGTCCAAGGAAGGATCAATCTCCTACCTTCCCCATCAGCCAACTCTTTTTTTTTTTAACCCTCAAGGCCTTCTCCAGAACTTAGACCGGTGCAACCAGCAAAGTGTCCTCACCCGAGCCGCCAGCTCCACCATTCCTGGAGGTTTGGCTCTGCTGTCCGGCTTGCAGGGGTGAAGATGAGGATCCTGAGAGCTGGTGGGCACCAATTCGGCTCCTTGGGGGACAGCCCAATTTTCCTGAACTCCTTTCTTGCAGAAAAGGCTGGAGAGAAAACCCACAAGAAAAGTGAATAGAAGGAAGCCCCACGGAAAGGAGAGGTTCTTGAGATGTTGGTTGAGTGTCCTCAACCAAAGAAGGGGGGGGAAAGGACCATGCAGGGCTGTTTCTGGCCTTTTGAGGTAGACTGCTGCAGGGTGTGGAGGCTCCAAAAGCAGAACACGGTTAGTTTGAGGGATGGAAGGAGTCCGCCAAGGGACGAAAGCCAAGCACTCTCCATCCAGATGGATGGATCTCTTTGAGGCTGCGGGGTGCAGATAGCAGGAAGCGAAGGAAAGGAGGCCTAAGGAAGTAGAGCAATGTCGGGGCGTCTTCCGAACCCTCACCTCTTGCGGTAGCCAAACATCAGGAAGAGGACACAAAAAATAATGCACGCCATGCCGATGTGAACGCCCACTACGATGCCGGCCAGGGAGGTGTCCCCTTCTGGTCTGCACTGGCAAACCGAGTTGGCATCTGCAGAGCAAGAAGGAGGGAGGGGTGGGTGGGATAGACTGCCTCCGAATAAGGAGGTTCCACCTCTGGTTAGAGATCTCGCTTCCAGCCTCTTTGCAAATTATCCGGCCCAGGCGGTAGCTACAGGGTGCCCAGAGGTTGTGCCCCTAACTGGGTGGGCACTGGTTCCCGGTACCAGTTCTTACCCAGCTTTTCCAGGTCGTCCCGGAGGGAGACGAATCTCCGGCTGCTGTTCCCGTCCCCATTGCCATTGAAGGCCTGGAGTTGGATCTCGTAGCTGGCCACCGGTTCTGCGGGGAGAAGAGAGGCAGCCCGGGGTCAGCCCCAATGGAGAAACTCAAGGGGGCAGCCTCCCCAGTTGTTGAGGGCCACAACTGGACAATGGAGAGAGAGAGAGAGAGAGAGAGAGAGAGAGAGAGAGAGAATGCCATAGAGATGATACATAGGTAGATGATAAATAGATGAGAGAGAGGGGGGATGGGGGAGGAGGAGGAGGAGGACTGTGGGATCCTTGGTGCCCTCTGACCTTGGAGGTTTTCTTGCAGACGTTTCATGACCCAACTAGGTAACGTCATCAGTGCTAGAAGAGGGGGGTGTGGGGAGAGCAGGAGGAAGAGGAGGAGGAAAGGAAAGAAAGATAGGAAGGAAGGAAGGAAGGAAGGAAGGAAGGAAGGAAGGAAGGAAGGAAGGAAGGAAGGAAGGAAGGAAGGAAGGAAGGAAAAAAGGGAGGGAGGGAGGAAGGAAGGAAGGAAGGAAAAAAGGAAGGAAGGAAGGAAGGAAGGAAGGAAGGGCAGAGAACAGACCCAGATTGCTATAGATGAAGGAGTTGACCGTGCCAGGCAAGATCTGAGGACCCTCGGAGTGGGCGCCGGGCAGCTTCCGGAGATACAGTTTGAATCCTTCGATCCTGCCGGGCGTGGAGGGCAGCTCCCAAAACACCTGGACGGTGCTGATGTTCAGGATCTTGGTGTAGAAGCTCAAGGCAGCTGGGACTAGAGAGAACAGGACAAGCAGTGACCCTTCCTCCTCCTCCACAAACCCCACGGCCCCCAAACACTGATGAGGTTGCTTACTGCTGCCCAGCGTGGTGGCCAGGACGGGCTGGGAGTCTTGGCTGGCCCCCAGCGGGGAATAAGCCTTCAGGAAGATGGAGTACGTAGTCGAGGGTTCAAGGTTGGTGAAGACGTGGTGGAACGTGTTCTTGCTGACCGCCTCCTGCAGCTCTCGGCTGTCGGACTCTGCGGAGGAAGCCCCGAGGAGAAAGACGCTTGAGAAGTTGACGGATAGAGCGGGGAACCCCCGAAGATTTGGGGAGAAGGGGCGGGGAGGGGGGCACAAAGGGCTCCCCGGCCCGGCTCACCTCCCGCCTTGCAGATGTGCAGAACGTAGCCGATGATGGACTCGGTGACTTCCCGGGACGGCTCCTGCCAGGAGACCCGGAGGGAGGTGGTGGAGAGGGCCGTGGCTTGCACCCCTTTGGGGGAGCTGGGCAGCTCCTTGGACAGGCCCACAGCCAGCCGGGCGCTGGCTTGGTTGGTGCCCGCGCTGTTCTCCGCGATGCACTGGTAGATGGCCTCGTCGGAGGAGGTGATGCCCTGGATCATCAGGGTGCTGCAGGAGGACAGAGCACAGAGAACAACAGAGTAGCAGAGTTGGAAGAGACCTTCAAGGTCCTCTAGCCCCCCCTGCTCAGAATACAGAATAGCAGAGTTGGGAGGGACCTCAGAGGCCTTCTAGTCCAGCCCCCTGCTCAGAATACAGAATGACAGAGCTGGGAGGGACCTCGGAGGGAGATCTGACCTGTTGTTGTGGGTCAGCTTGATGTTGTCGCCGGGGGCCAGGACTTTCCCGTTCTTCAGCCAGATCAGGTGAGGCTCTGGCACCCCTTGCGCCACGCAGGTGAAGATGGCGCTGGTGCCGGGCGTTTTGGAGAGGGACTGAGGCCACTGCACAAACTCCGGAGGTGCTGAGAGAGACAAAATCAGGGGATAAGCAAAGATGTTGTTGCAAAGTAAATTGTGATTGTTGTGGCACGGTCCAGTTTTTGCCTTCCAAGTTTCCAGTCCTGTGCGCAGAACAACTCAAAACAAACCGAGGGGGTTGTTTCTCCTCTCGATGCCAGCAGGGGGCAGCAGCCTCCCTCCGATCTGGGCTTGCCCACCCCGCAATAGCTGGGGCAGGGGCAGCGTGGGAGAGAGGCGAGACAGATGTCCCTTGGACATGCCTGACCCTCTCCGGAACAATTCAAAGGATCTTTACGGATCCGTCCCCCCCCCCATCCTGCATCCCATTAGCTCTCCCAAAAGGCTGGGAAAAGAGCAGTGGGATTTCTCTTCCCCCCACACCACTTGCAAAGCCCCAGCCTCAGCCTTGAGCCCCCCCAAACAAAAACAGACCCCCTCCTCTGCTAGGAAAGAAAAGGAAGGAAGGAAGGAAGGAAGGAAGGAAGGAAAGAGGGAGGGAGGGAGGGAGGGAGGGGGACGGAGAGGGAGGAAGAAAGAAAGGAAGAAAAGAAAGAAAGAAAGAAAGAAAGAAAAGAAAGAAAGAGAAAAAGAGAAAGAAAGAAAGAAAGAGGAAGAAAAGTGAAAGGAAGAAAGAGAGAAAGAAAGAAAAAGAAAGAAGGAGAAAGAAAAAAGGGAGGGAGGAAGAAAGAAAAAGAAAAGAGAAAGAAAGAGAGAGAAAAAGAAAAAGAAAGAGAAAAAGAAAGAAAAAGAAAAAGAAAGAAAGAGAAAAAGAAAGAAAGAAAGAAAAAAAGAAAGAAAAAATAGCTTTTGTTGGCCAGACGGCTCTGAGGAATGCCTAGCCCCCCCACCCCAAATCTTCGTTCTCAGAGGGAATCCGCTTCCAAATTCAGCTCCCCAATTCGGAACACCCCCGCCCCCAAATCCTTGAGAGAAGACCTCCCTCTTCGCCGGAGAACAATTCTGCCCGGCATCCATCGTCCACCTTCCTTTGACCTCCCAGACCCATGGGTCACGGCATTGATCGCCCCCCCCCATCTCTTTATTGGATCAACAGCCCCAGATCGATGGCTGCCAGAGGGCAGGTGGGGATGTGGCCGGTTGGGACCGGCTTGTCATTAATGCTCGAATGAGAACGGCGAGCAGGAAGGGCGGAGAGATTGATCGGACGAAATTAATCGTATTCCCGGGGACCCCACATCACCGGGGGGAGGGGGGTGAAAGGCGTCAATCACCGAGGACCTTCCAGGGGGATGTCCGTCCAAGATTCACCTGTCTTGGAAACCGAATCAGCCCTACGACTAGAAGAGTTTTTTTTAATTCCACGATGCAGGCGGTCCTCGCCTTACCACCACAATCGGACCCGACACTCCTGTTGCTAAGCGAGACAATGGTTAAGGAAAGGAAGGAGGGAGAGAAAGAAACAAAAGAGAAGGAAGGACAGAAAGGGATAAAAGAAGAGAAAAAGAAGGGAGGGAGGGAGGGAGGGAGGAAGAGTTAGAAGGAAGGAACCGGTTGCTTAGCGACCATTCAAAGTTACAACAGACTCCACCTACAGTACCGCACCAACAGAGGGATAGTATCGAGATCTGGACAGGGGGGTTGGACTAGATGACCTCCAAGGTTCCTTTCAACTCTGGTATACTGTTACTTAGGACCCGGTTCCGAAGATCTGACGGCCAGCCTATCAGTTTCTGATCTTGTCCGTTCTCTTAAAGGATACCTCCATCTCCCCACCTGGAAGACTTCTTACCTTGCACCATCAGGATACCTTGTGCAGTGCGACGCACACGGGTGCCAGGCCGGTTGGCGGCACAAACATAAACCCCGGCGTGCTTCACTGACACATCCGAGATCATAAGGTTGCCGGTTCCGAGCACTTGAATCCCTTCCACGCCGATGGACCGTCCGTCTACGGGGGGCAGAAGACAACCCATTGGTTGTAGCCGGGAGAGGTGGTCTCTCCTCCGCCTCTTCTCCTCAGCTACTCTCCTGACCTTCTCAGGAAATCCTTCCCCACACCCCATCATCCTCTTCCCCCCCACTATGGTGGTTTTCCTCAGCATCCCTGCTCACCCAGACGACTCCAAGACACGATAGGACGAGGATTTCCCGTAGCGATACACTCCAGGATAGCTGTCTGGTGGACCGTAATGGTCAGGTTCTGGGGTCCTGACAAGATGACCGGCTCTTTGAAGACCTTGGGCACGGACACTGAAGAAAGAACAAGGTGAGAGAGTAGAGACCCCTTCCACCTTCTTTTGGGGGTGAGGGGGGCAGAGCCTCTCCCCTCCCCGCCGATGAGAAAATGAGAGGATCGCCACGACCAAAGGACAATCCTTCTCACTCGATTCGTATTCCCCGTAAGTACGACCAGCCCTTCCCAGCTGTCTCCCTTTCCGAAACAGCCACCCATTCACCAGGTCAGGCCACCCGCCTGGCCTGAATCCCACCACCCGGTGCTCACCGCTGATGCTCAGGGTAGCCTCCTGGCTGTAGCGAGTGTTGGCGATGTTTCTCGCCACGCAGCGATAGCTGCCAACGTCGTGTCGTCTCACACCGGTGATCTGCAAGATGCCGGTGGGGAGGAGTGTAAATCTGAAGGAAATGAGAAGAGAGAAAGGAAAAATTGGTTCTAGATAACCCACTCTGTGGTTTGTATATGTGCGTGTGTTTGTGTGTCTGTGTGTACATTTTCAGGCATTGTAGCAGAGGATCCCCTTAAATATCCAAATTTTTAAGAGAAAGAAAATTAAAACATCGGCATCCCTGTTTGTGCGTAACAGATACAGGAAATCCTCAACTTATGACGGGACTGTCCCAACAAAATCTACCATTTTTCCCAGCGCACCATCAAACATCACCACGGCCCTCTGAAGCTCACCGATAGTCCTCGGTTGACAGCTCCGTCCGGTTGTGTTCCCACGTGATGGTGGCTTCTGGGACACCCTGGATGAGGCACTGGAAGCGAGCCACGCCGCCCTCTTCCACCGACATGGACTCGGGGTGCATGTGGAACTTGGATAAAGCTTTGGGGAGAAACGACAGGTGGCAAGAGTCAGACTTTGAGCAAAGCCCCACGATGTTAGTGGCAGCCACTTGTCTCCAGAGCTGCCTAAGCTGGTCTACTACAAGGGGGCCTAGATGGGGCTGCCCTTGAGGTATGCTCTGAAATTGGAGCCAGGTTTGGCTAGAACGGTTCTCCGGGGGAGATTTTTGAGAAAGCGTAAAGTCCGTCATGCAAGATGTTTGGTTTCTAAATCAGGGTTTGCAAACTTGGGCCACTTTAAGACATTTTCCTTTCCATTTCCCTTTTTCTTTTATTTCTTTTATTATTTTATTTTATTTCTTTTATTTTCTTCTCTTTCCTTTCCTTCCCTTCCTTTCTTTTTCATTTTCCTTCCTTTCTTTTTTCTCCTTTCTTCCTCCCACCCTTCCTCCCTTTCCTTTTCTCTTCTTTTATCCCTTTCTTCCTTCTCTTTTTCCCTTTCTTGTCCTCCTTTCCCTGTCTCCTCTTTCCCTCTTCCTTCCTTTCACCCTCCCTCCCTCCCTCTATCCAACTTTCCCAGTGGGAATGTGACAAACAGGCAGGCCGAGAACATTCTCTAGAGACTGACTGGCAATCTGGATCCGAGCCTTGCGGCTGACCAGCAGGCCGTAACAGTTCTGGGCGGTGCAGCTGTATTCCCCGGCACTGGAATTGGCGGCCTCTTCACCGGGGGAGCCTCCCCGGGGTCTCCGGTGGATGCTCTCCAGGCGCAGCGAGCCGTTGGCCAAGAGGGCACTGCGGCTGTCGTGGGCCAGGGCCACCCCATTGCGGTACCAGGTGATGCTGATGGGCGCCTCGCCCTCCACCTGGCAGTGGAGGAGCAGCGGCCGGTCCCGGACGGCAATCACGTCGCTCGGCTCCAAGATGAACGCCAGCTCTGACGGGTAGGCCAGGTCTGTGGAGGGGGAGAAAGACGGTTTGAGGTCAATCGGTTTAAGAGGGAAGGTCAGAACAGAATCATGGATGAACACAAGACCCTAATAAATATGCCCCTTCTTTCTTTCTTTCTTTCTTTCTTTCTTTCTTTCTTTCTTTCTTTCTTTCTTTCTTTCTTTCTTTCTTTCTTTCTTTTTCTTTCTTTCTTTCTTCCTTCCCTTTTAATCCTTCCTTCCTTTCCTCCTTCCCTTTTAATCCTTCCTTCCTTCCTTTCCTCCTTCCCTGCCTCCCTCCCTCCTTCCCATCTTCCCTTCCCTTCTAATCCTTCCTTCCTTTCCTTTCCTTTCCTTTCCTTTCCTTTCCTTTCCTTCCTTCCTTCCTTCCTTCCTTCCTTCCTTCCCTTTTAATCCTTCCTTTCCTCCCTCCCTCCCATCTTCCCTTCCCTTCTAATCCTTCCTTCCTTCTTTTCTTTCCTTTCCTTCCTTCCTTTCCTCCCTCCCATCTTCCCTTCCCTTTCCATCCTTCCTCCCTCCCTCCCTCCCCCGCCTCCCCCCACAGTTATCGGGTGTCTAGAAGCATCCTAAAATAAAGAGAAGAAAAAGCTGAACCCTTCTCAAGATAAAGCCAACTAGAGGGTCTAGAAGACCCCTCCCTCATTACCTTGAGGTCCACAAGGGAAGAAGACTGGGCTATAGATGGACTAATTAATTCCCTGTGGCCCCACCACCAAACCGGCTGAAGGCCCATGAAGCTCCCCAGATGTTCCTCAACCACAGTCTTCACACGCCCAGTTCACCAGGCCAAAGGAGGACCTCAGGGAGGTCAACTTCCTCAGATACCTTCTCCAGGCAGTGGGAACCTTTGCACCAAAGCCAAAACCTCAACCTTACGTTGGACCCACCAGCTTCTCCGATGCTCTTGTTGAAGCTGAAGACCCACCTCAAGGTCTTTGAAGCATCAGAAATGGGGCGACGTGACCAGGGAGAAGAAGGGGACCCTGAGGGTTAGACCTGAAGGGCATCCTGGCTGGGTTCTCTGAGGCTTAGGGCTAAAGGGGAGAAGAGGACGCCAGACAGGGACCCTTCCTTTTCTGCAACCAAGGGCCCCGGACAAGCCTTCTGGGCCGGGGAATCAGGACTCCGAAACCTGCTCTCTTCCAGCTGACGTGCCCAGCTCCTCACTTCCCCAAACAGATGGGAAGCACTAGGGCTGGGGCCGAGGGGGGGGCGGGACAAAAGACCCTTTGAATCCCCTTAGGACTTGGCTTGCCTGCAGCCCCCAAAGTCACGGGCCACCCCATCTCCAAGTGAAAGTCTGCCGGTGACAATAACCTCTGAGGGGGCGGAGAAGCAGGGATTGTCCCCCCCCTCCACGTCTTGATGGATGCTGCATTTGGGCCCGGCTTAGCAACTGGGAGGGCGGGTGAGGCAGGGCCGTCGAGCAGCCTCATGGGGGGGGGGACGGAGAGGGCGGACAATGCCAGGGGTCAGGAGATGCGAAGGGGTCTTCATTTGTTCCCTCCGTGGCACAATGGAGCCCATCTCCCTCAGCCCATCTGCCCGGCCACGTGACGCGCCCGGGGTGAAGTTCCCATGCCTTAACCCATCACTCAAGCCCGCCTCTCCCCACCCAGCACCTTCACCTCCAGCCATCCATCCATCACAGCTCCATTCCAGCCCACCCACCCACCCACCCCCTGGGATGGTCCAAGGGGTGCCGTGACCCCAGACCGCTCTCCCCTCTCCTCCCCATCCTTGGGCCTGGGTTCAGCCACTCGTGAAATGGAGCCATGCTCCTCAACCTGATGGAGACACAAGAATTTGGAAAGAGGGTGATGGGGTGGGGTGGGGGCTGAGGGGAGAGTCCCCCCCTGAGGACCCCGACTGGATTCCTTCGGTCGCGGTGCCCAAACTTGACAGGTCCCCAAAGCAGTTGGAAACAGATTTTCTCCAACACAAAGACCTGAAGGAGACCAGCAAAAAGGTCCTACGGGCTTCTTCCTTCTTCGAAAGGACGGATGCAGGTTGGGGTTAAGCCTCAAGCAAAGGTAGCCTCCTTGAACCCCCCCCCCCAAAAAAAACCCCATCAGATGTTCAGGAGGAGCCTCCAGGTTCAACTCTTCCAGCAAAGAGCAATTTCGAGATGTTTGCTGGGTCCAGCTTGTCTCTTAACACAACCCAGATCAGCCTCGTTGGGTACCAAAAGAGATCCGCCTCGGCTAATCAAAATCAGGCGAGGTGTTAATAACCACTTTATAAAGCCTTAATAAGACCACACTTGGAACGTCACATCCAGTTTTGGTCGTCACGACATATAAAAAAGACACTGAGACAAACTTGGGGCTAAAACAGTGTGTAAAGTTGGTCTAAACAGGTTTTCCACGCTTGCCCGAGTTAATTCTTGCGTGAAACGCTTCACGCTTCGCTGAGTAGACACAGCCTCTGATCTCAGAAGCCGTCCACATTTGAAACTTTTGACAAGCAGAATTCTCCTCCTATCAAACCCGGTTTCTCTCTTTTTGCAAACCAGCTTTTCGCGGAAACTTTATCCGAGGGTGGATTTTTGGAGCCGGTAAAGATTTTGCAAAGAAAACAAATCTTGTCTTTGGAGTTGCGGAAGAGAAATTGGGGGGGGGGGACATTTTTTATATTCTCGCTTCGGCGTGAAATGGTTTAAGCAGGCTTGTTTTAAAAGTATTAGGATTGAAAAGATGGTTTGTGGGGGGTCTCTCTTTGATTGTGTGAACGTATCGGCAACTTCCTTTGATCCAATGAAGATCAATGATAAAGAGCTTTGTTCTGACCAGATCAAATTCTGATTGAATTCCCATTTCAAAGAAGGTGTAAGAATTCTAGCTGGGGATTTTAATACCCTCAGATTTTATCATCCCTTTTATTTTAATTATTCTTTTCAATTTAAAAGTTTTTGTCTATTGAGGAAGCTCCATAGTTTCTAGGAATTAAAACTGGAACGAGAAGACCAAGTTTGTTTCCAGCTCTATTATTCTGCTATTCTGTTTTATTCTGTTCTGTTCTTATGTTTTATTCTGATATTCTGTTTTATTCTTTTATTCTGTTATTCTATTCTTTTTTATTCTGTTATTCTGCTCTTCTGTTTTATTCTGTTATTCTGCTCTTCTGTTAAATAACACTCAGACAAGAAACATAGGTGAATTGTGAATTCCTTCTCCTTCGTCAATCTCTGCTAATGTTTTTTTAAAAAAAACATCTATAGGAGTTTCCAGGTCACTCAGGACACTAAACCGCAGTTTAGTAAACCTTGACTAATTTATAAACCACGATTATAAACTTGATTCCTTGAATCATTTCCAAAACAGGATTGTAAACGCACAACTGCCCGTGCACAACCGGCTACCTTAATGTTGTCATTTCGGTCAAATAACCAAACTAAAAACTCCCCATTTGTGGGTGGCTGCACACACTGACAAAAATACACAAACACAACATCGTCTTGGCTACCTATTGAAACAAACGCCGAATAAGTTGTGCATATTTTTATTTTATTTTATTTTTACTTCTTAGGCAGGGCAGGCGAGGAAAAATATTCTGAATCTCCTGGCTGAAAATGCAAAATGATCAGCCAAACTTTGGTCTCAGTAAAAAGGCACTCTTCCTTTGGACACTAAGAGGCTGGATTTGTTTGAACGCCAGTTCTTGAAAAAACATCTAAAAAGCGAGATTTTTCTGCCCAAGATCCCAGCCCCAAAAGGGAAATTAGATCTGAAAACTTTTATTTTTTTCCCCTCTTGTTTTGCTCAATTTCGCTTCTTTTGCTCAACTGCCTCTTTGAAAATGCCGGTTAGCACATCCCGTCCTTTTGCAAAGCCATTAAAAACCGCAATTAATTTCACAATAACCCTGAATTAAACGTCTCCGTTTGTCTGCCTTCGACCTTCAGGTTGGGCCCAACATTTCATGCTGGATGTGACGCAATAACCACAGTAATAATGATGGATATACTTACCCCAGTTTTGCAGAAACAGCCCCAGGACCATCCAGCATCTCCACGGCAGCATCGCCTGCCAACGGACGGCTTAAAAGCCCCCCCAAAAAACCCCGCTGGAGATTCTGCCCCCCAAAAGCAATCTGAAACCCGAACTTTCTCCCTGGCGAATAATCCCTTAAGAAAGAACGGGGGTCCCTGGCTCTTTGCCAGCAGCCCCCCACCCCACCCTGCTCGGTTCCGCTAATTCCCCAATAAAATGAAAAATATTAAGTCTTTGGTCTCCACTTTGTCCCCAACCTGTGTGCCTCCCTTTGCTTTGTGGACCCTCACCCCCAATTTTGAGACCCTCCTCAATCCAGCCTGGGGAAGCTAAATTGGCCAGCTTAAAAATCCCATTGTCTGCCCTTTGTGACCACCGGTGTCATTGATATAATCGGAGCAGGGTGCGAGGAGGAGGAAGGGGGGGGATTGGGTCTGTGAGGGGGGGGCAGAGCTACCCAATTGCATTTGGCTTAAGAGCCCCTCCCTCTTTCCTCTCCCACCCCTCTCTCCCTCCCTCCAACGGGTCCTCCTTTTGCAACTTCCCCAGGCTGGATAATTCAGTGGCATCCTTCGCACCCGTCACCTTGCCCTAAGGAGGACTCACCTGGCCTCTCACCTGGGCGTTATTTGCATGCAGAAGAGAGGGGGGTATTTTTTGGGGGGGGAAGAAACCCCCCAAAGGGCAACCAACTGATGGACTGACCCACAGCTGAGGCTAGCAAATAAAACGCAGGCAGTCCTCGGCCTACACCCGTTTATTTAGGACCGTTTTTCACTTTTACGACCGTTGCAGCATTCCCCAGGATCAAAATTTGGATGCTTGGCAACTGACTCATATTTATGACGGTCGCAGCGTCCCCGGGGGTCTCGCGATCCCCAGATTAGAAAGCCGTCTGGGGCCTTGGCAGCACACTCTTCAAGGCCAGCCCCACGGCAGGGGTCCTGGAGTAGTCCAGCCGGGTGTCTTTCCACCCTCAAACTGAAATAAAAATCAGAGGGAAAAGTGGCTTTACTCAAATGCTGTCCCAGGTACTGAAAATGTCTGGCTGAGCCTGGAAAAAAACAGGGAATTCTCTGGGGTGTTTGAGCCTCGAGATGGATTTAAATGTGAAACATTTAATTGCCTTGAGTCCCTCACTTTTTATTTAAAAACAGGCAATTTTTCAAAGCCAGCCACGTCTAAAACCCCAGGTTTGGGGGCAAACCAAGTTGAGAATACGGCTTTATCAGCGATGTTTTTATTGTACATTATTTTGATCCAAAGCATCGCTAGAGGTTGGGACAGCCTTTTGTCCTGAATGGCATAGTAGGGTTTCCTGCAGGAGGTTGGACTAGATGCCCTCCAAGGTCCCTTCCAACTCTTTGTTATTCTGTTTTCTTTCAATGCCTTTGCTTGATGAGGCTGGTGAGCTGCTGAGAATTGAACACATTTGAACAGACACACACACACACACACACACAAAAATTGTGAAAAAAACCAAACATGTTAATGCTTCCATTTTCAACGAAGTGGGGAAGAGTCAGAAAGTTGAGAAATTGCTTCATGATCACACAAGTGTCTGAGCTTAAAAGCCTGACCCTGTTTTAGCAAAATGGCAGAATTTGCATTTAATGCAAAAAAAGAGAGAAGGCACTCCTTGCAATTAATGCAAAGGTTGCAACCCACTGCAAAAATCTAGCCAAATACAAACTTTAGTTGCAGGCTCTCTGGCTGACCTGGGTTAACGTGTCCTGAGAATGCCGTTCTTCTCACTGTTGCGAGTTTCAGCTTTGGAACAATTGGGGAGAACTCCAGTGGACAGAGAGAGAGAGAGAGAGACGGAGGGAGGGACCCCTCCCCAATTTAGCAGCAGGGAAATATAAAGGGGCTGAAAGAGGTCCTTCCAACTTCCCTCCCATTCCTAACCCCCCCTTTTTTTCCAGCTCCATCCAGTTAACTGCACTTAAAAGTCCTGGATTTGGGGAGGGGGGGGGATGTTTGAGTGGGTGGGCGAGGCTGCCCCCTTCTTTTTTCCGCCTTCCTGGGTCCATTCATGGTGTCAGTTACACGAGCCGATGGCCCTATTCTCTAGGCACAATGGGGCACCCCCCAACACCCTCTCTTTGTAGCCAGGGGAAAGGGGAGGCAGCTAGGAAGACAATACCCAAAGGGGGAGGGGGAAGGAGACCCTGTGTCTCTTACTGGCACCCCAAAATTGCAAAGAGGGGTGTGTGCAAGAGAGATAGATAGAAGAGTGAAACGCAAGCAAGCCAGTTCCTGATTTTATCAAGCTAGCAACCCAAGTTTTAGGCCGGTTTGAAAGTTGCAAAACCGTCAAAATTTGCATCCGGTTTCTTCCTTCCTTCAAAATCCTCTATTCCCCCACCCCTTCCTTTGGCCCTGCAATGTAGGGCAGCTTTGAGCTCACAACCACCCTCCAAGGTAGGCCACCCCAAGGGGCTGTCGAGGAATTTTGCAGTTGCCTCGTTTCGAATTAGGCGGCCTTATCAATCTATAATCGATTCATTGATTAACTTGGGCGGTCAGAGCAGACTCTTATCGCTGGGTGGGGGAGGGGTCTTTCTCCAATCTCTGTGTATTTTTTTTTTTTAAAAGGCATTTTGCAGAGTCAAGAAAAATAAAAACGAAACACAATATAAAATAATATAATAAATAAAAGGATAACATAAT